TGTTATTCAAGTTCATTTAATAAAAATTATATATGTTAGAAATTAAACTATCATAAGACTCTATTTTATCTTTACAAATTAATATTTATTAACGTACATAACAATATATAATTTCAAAAAAAAACATTAATAATTCAAAATGTTAAGTTTTAAGTTTGGCTTATAAAAAAACCATAAACGCAAATTATTAACAAATATGCTGTGTTTTATTTTGTGTTTTCTTCAATGTTTTTTAAATACTTAGAGCCTTCAAATTTCCTTCCACTAAAAGAGTAGTTTCTATAACACTCTACTTTTTCTAAATTTTTACAATACCTGAAACATTCATCTCCTATGTTTTCTACACTTTTGTTTATTTCAACTTTTGTCAAATTGAAACACTCTTTAAAACACCCATCTCCTATTCCAGTAATATTGCTTGGAATAGTTATTGAAAGTAAATCATTTCTTTGACTGAAACAATAAGAGTCAATATAATCAATATCGTGTGGTATTTCTGTCAATTCTTTTGATTCTTCCTTTGTTAAGAAGACTTTAGTTATTTCACAGACGTTCATTTGACGTGCAATTGTTGCCATTCTTCTACACATTGGTAGAGTAACTTTATCCCCATTGATAATCAGCCTTTTTATTGTTGAACAAAACTGAATTGATGATGGAAGAGAAAGTAAGTTTGTAGAGAAAGTCAAAGAAGAAAGTGATGAAATATTTGTGAAACAGTACATTCCTATCTCTGAGACACCTCCCAAATCAAGTTCTTTTAGTGAACTCATATTATCAAAACACCCAATTCCAATCACTTTAAGTGATGGAGGGAATATCAGTTTAGTTAAATTATTCCATGAATTACCTATTACCATTCCACTTGAATGTATTTCTATTAAGGTTGATGGAAATTTAATCTCAATATCATCATAGTTTCTTTCTTCAAAATAAACAATCTTAATTCCTTCTCTTAACTGGTTTGTTGTGTGCATTCTAAGTTGAACTATATTACATTTAATACCTTGATTTTCAAGAGCCATTGCAGGTTCATTATCAATAACATCTTCAATAACTCTTGGTGGAGAATCAATAAATTTAATGTTCTTTAAGTTTGGACATTGACAAAACATTTTACAATTAAAACATTCTTTGTTCATAATAGTAACACTTGTTAAATCAGGACAATTATTAAACGAGTCATCTTCAAATTTTTTAATATATCTCAAATCAATTTCTTTAAGCAATAAAATATCATGAAATGAGTCTGTTGATAAATACGTTAGAGTTGTTGGTAATTGAATATACTCCAATTCCTTTTCATGAAAACAGTTAGGTTCAAGTCTTTTTACACCATTTGGTATTTCATTATTTTCTGTTGTATTTCTTAAATAAATATCATTAATATCAATTCTGTTGTTAATAAATATTTGAGCTTCTTCAAAAGGAAGTGTTGTATTTATTTTTGTAATTCCATAACTTGAAATATGTTTTAATGATAATAAACCTTGAAAACAATTTGTTCCTTCTTCATAAAGAGTATGTGGGAGTGTGATACTTGTTAGTTGTGTACATTCACATATACAATGATTTCCAATATATCTTAATGATTGAATATTTAATTCTTTAAGAGAATCAAGTTTATTAATGCATTCATTTCCAATAATACGAATATTATTAAGTTCCAATTTTGATAGACATTTATATTGATTAAATACATTATCACTAAGAATCATAATAGAGTCTAAATTTAATTCTTCTATTTTATTTATTCGTTCATTATTATAATCACTATTATAAATATAATATTGAAAAATAGGATTATACCATTTACACGTAAATAGTATTTTAATTTCCTTTGGCAATTTAATATTATTTTCTAATCTAGATTCATTCATTCTTACCATTCTAAAACTGACATTTTGCTCTTTTTTCTTTTTTATTGATAAATATTCTTTTTCTTTTATATCACCAAAATAATAATATTTCTCTATTCCTTCAACTCGTCGTTCTGATGTACTATAAATGTATTGTGTTTGAATATTTGGGAAAATTTTTAATAATTCTTTTGTTAATGGGATAGGATTATAATGAAACATTGAAGGAATGTCTTTGTATTTTTTACAAATTTGAACCATGGCAATAAAGTCACTTGAGAAGTTAAAATACTTAGATATAATCATCATATGATATGTATCAATTTTTGACATGACCGTATATTTATTATTAGTTGATTTTGGGTTTTTATGTAAAAAAGACAAAACTCAAAGTAATTTAAAATAATAATTTATTCATTCTCTCTATTAATATTAATTGTATTTTTTTTTATTACATAATTAAAAATTTGACGTTAAAGTATTAAACTTTTTATGTTGAAATAACAAACTGAAACACATTGGAATGTGAATGAATCTGTTTCAAACAATATTCTAATTGATGACTTTGTATCATCCCATTAGAATTTAATATTTCTATAAATGGTAATACATCACTACAAAATGCATCATATTCAATATTAAATGGTATTGTTTGATTTTGTTTTGTTATACAATTATTTATTATTTTATTAAAACATTCTTTACATTCTTCAATTTCTTTATTTCCTTTTTTATTCATTGTACTAAATGATTGATTTACTGGTGACGCTTCTATTTCAACCATTCTTTTTTCTTTTCTTGGAATAACCATAACACTTCCTGTAATAACAGCACATGTAAGATATTCACAGAGTGGTTGGTTGAATGCCTGTTTCTGAAATATATCAGCTAAACAAATATAATGTTCTACATAAGTTAAATATTTCATTTCTTTAATTGTAGAAATAATATTATGTTCAATTAATGGGATGATTCGTTCTCTCCCTTGTAATTCTTTTGCTACACTACTTGGACTATGTTTTAATTCATACCTTTTTTCATATTCATTATAAACAGGTTCTGTATGAATAATTCTTCCTATTAAATGAAAAAATGAAATTGCCTCATTAGTAGAAATAACTTGTACAAATTTACTATTTATTTCAATGATTTCTTTATTATTTAATGCAATTCTCAAATCTCCATGACATCCTTCTGCTATACTATTAATAATCCCTTGACTCATTCCATTTAAACACTTTTTAATACAATTCATTGTTATTGGATTTAAAGTAACATAACTAATTGACTCTTTTAATTTTTCATATTCATAATTCCCTTTATTTGTTTCAATATATTTGTTAATACTGTTTTTTATAGATTCATTACAAGTAATAATTAATGGCATTTTCCCATTTCTTACATAGTCTACAAACAATCCAACATACCATTCACTTGGACACTCTTCTTCAAATAAAATACAACTTCTTCTCCAATCCCCTCCAAACAACCCTCTCATTTCTGATGAATATAATACCCATTCTCTCATTTCTTCTTTACTTTTTCCTTTCTTATCATTTATTTTACTATCCATTTCTTTAACTTGGATTCGGTCTTCCTTTCCAATTGATTTGATTAATGTTGTTTTGCCACATCCATTTGGTCCATTGACAATAAGTATTTTTGGTTTTGTTAAATTCTCATTTATCCATTTTCTGACTTCTTCTACTTTTTTCTTTTGAATCACTAATTTACTCAATTCAGTTGAGGCAACCACAATCCTTTGCTTCGGTCTTGCCATCATCTTTGTTTCTTGTTTTACTCATTTTTAAGATTTTTTATTTGTTTTATAAAAAAAGTCAATTATGTTGTTTGTTTTGGTATGATTCTAATAACATTATAATATCTCCAACTAAAATCATTTCTCATTGGGTGTGGCACTATGACATTTTAATAACCTTTTTTTAATTTTATTTCTTGAATTTTATTAATTGTTTCAGGCTTTCTTCTGTTGATATTTTATCTGAGACTATCCATAGTTTTATATCTTTAGGAAATAGGTCTTCTACGTAATGATTTTTAACATTGTGACTACAAAAGAATATATATCTGATGGCACTTTATAATACTCTTGATTTAATACGTTTAGTGTTATGCGTTTTGGTATTTCTATTCAATTGCACTTCCAAAGTCTGTTAATTTACAAT